CCTGTACACATTTAGCACCATACCAAGCACATGGTAGGTGCTTAGTGTATATTAGCCGAGTAAAGGTGCAAACCACTGTGTTAATGATAACTGCATTATTAAGTCTCAGAAATGGCATCTTGTTAGTTCAGAGTCCTGTAGACAGGTATGACTGACCTCGTACCTGATGTGCTTTCCACAGTACCCAGTGTGGTAAGTAGACAGCAGTATTCTCTGGACTCTGCACCTTACACTCTGCAATAGCCACAGGTGAACATGGGATACAGATGCTCCTGAATCACATTATTGATACATGAAGTTCCCATGTGGAGGCTGCTTATCACTCCCACCCAGGACTGCTGGTCAACCTCCCCTACTGGGACAGGAGCACTTTCAGTGGCCACTGCTCCCTTTTTTAGTACTCAGTGGCTGAATATATCCAACAGAGGTTTGTTGAGCATACAACATGCTCTATAGGTAGTCTAGGTTCAGGGGATTCAGAGCTGAGCGGGATACAACTCCAGATTTTTTTTTTTTTTGAAATGTTTTTGGTATAGGGTGCATGTGCTTGCCAGACAAACAGAGAGACAGAAAGCAAGAAATCACCCCCCAAGGGGGATGGCCACGCCGCAATCCCTTCTCCTCTGTTCTCCTCTTGGGATCTTGGGCACGTACGCACACGTGCCCAACGTGAGTTTAAGCCACCAGGTCCGGGATGCGAACCACAGTCAACTACATGGGAGTCCAGCGACATAGCCATTACACTAACTGCTGGTCCCAGCTCCAGCTTTTGGGAACTCACTGCAGAGGTGCTCTTTAGAAAATGGGTCCTGGGGCCATTTCCTAGGAATATTTTTTTCTCCAACTCAAGGATATGTTTCTGTGTGTGTAAGGGGAAGAGAAACCCCCATACACACATGAGTTTCTTGTGTTCTGGTGATTAGTATTCTTTCTCATGTGGTAAGAATAAACACACTTAGAGCCTCATCAAATACTCACACCACGTGTCTACCCATACACACGCACACACACCCTCCATAATCTTACTTCTGTCTTCATTGAACTGGAGCGATGTACTCTTGTTACAAATGTATGAAATATGCACGTGCACACATGCACATACACACATGTCTGTCCATTCTCACATATCCACACATAATCTCACTTCTTTCCTCATTGAACTAGAGCCATGCACTCTTTTATGTATTAAACACCCACACACAAAGTCTTTTGCAAAGAACCTTGCAGATACTTATTTCTGATGAGGAATAATTGAATGAACTCTTTTGCAAAGTAAGTGAGGGAGGTGAAAAGACCATTACTTAGTTAAGTTTCCTCCTGGAGGCAACATTATGGTCCCCAGGCATGGTTGAGTTCTCTAGGAGGACACAGGGATGGTCTGACAGCCATGAATCAGAAGGGTCACCCCAGTTCATCCAGCCCCTACCTTCTCTTCCCGGTGAGCCCTTGCCTGAATCTCCTTCAGGTGATGTTTGATGACAGTAAGTGCCCACTAGATGTCGCCTGGGTCCAAGTATCCCCCTTTCCCAACTGGTGATAACAACTATGATAACAGATGACATCTGTTGAGTCTTTCCTTTCCTTTCTACACTGTGCTTTTTGTCTGCAGCATCTCTTAGAAGCCTCCTGCCATCCCCTAGAATTATTACTGTTACTGTTGCTATTGTTATCTCCATTTCACAGTGGAGAAAATAAAAACTCAGAAAGGTTAGCTAACTGACCCACTCATCCAAGATCATCCATACAGGAACAGGCTAGAACCAGTGACAGCCTCTCTGCCACATCTATACTTTTACCTGTGGCCTAACAAGCACCTTTTCTAGAGAAGCAGCATGGTTGGGGAGGGCACAGACCCAGGTTTGACCTCCCTGAGTGGACTCAAGATTTTGAAACTGCATTGTCAACTGTCAAACAAAGCTACAAATGCCTCACCAGGGGCTCTGAGGGGTAAAGGGTAGCACGTATACCCAGCATCTTGCACGTTGCTTCGTCTCTGCTTATTTGCTCTCCAGAATCCTGTTAGCCATCACAGACTCTTGAACTGCAAATATAGGAGCAAATAACAGCTTTAAGAATAGGCTCGTTGGCAGGACGTTAGTGGGAAACAAGATATGCTTATTACCTGTCGATGATGACATGTATGGTATTCTCAACCGGATTGGTCTGAGAAGTATTTCATGATGGGTAAAGTCTTCTTACAAGCAAAATGAGAAATAGTGATTGACTGTTTAAAAAAAATAATTAGAATAATAATAATGATTGGGAAAAACAATGAAAAGATATTGAATGATGAAGTGGGGAGATTAATGTCTCTGTATTGACTGACATGCATGGCGTTCCCTTCTGAAAAAGCAATGTAATACACTGTAAAGTTATATGCAATCCAATGTAATATAAACAAGATTATGAGGATAAAAAAAAGAATAGGCTCGTTGATCATCGTCCGTGCATATAATTAGAGGACACAGAAGGAAACTTGGAAGAGTGGACCTTCACATCACCGTGATCGCAGGCTTAGGTACAGCAAGTATTTTTCATGCATACAGCACATAAATATTGAGCACCTGTCATGCACTAGGCACTGTGTGCTGGGGGCAGTGACAGAGTGTCACACTCTCACCAGGGGAGTAGCCTTTAAATAATCCCAGTTCAAGTTGACAAGTGCTTTAATGGAGTTAGGAGTCAAGTGCTTTGCGGGCACAGAGAAGAAATAGACCAGTTTACCAGTGAGATCAGCAAAGATTTCACAGAGAAGACCCAGCTGAATCTTGAAGGGTAAATGGAAGGCTCATCAGGTAGGGAAGAGTGGGGTGAGGTGAGTGAGGACAGTGCACAGAGGGACAAACATATTTCAGGGCAAAGTCGTGGAAGCTTGGAGAGAAAGGCAGATTTGGGGAACAGAGGGATTGCTGGTGAGAGGACAGGGTGATGGCTCAGAGAAAGTAGCCTGTGGTTGTCAGTAAGGAAATCTGGGTTTAATCCTACAGGTTGGAAAGAGTCTATTGTCTCATAGGATCTTAGATAGAATGAGGATTCTAGCTTCCTGGTCTTGTATTGGTCCAACTATTGGCATGGTGGGCATCTTTAAATAGGCAAGGACATCACATTAATGTGAAACACTGAAAAATATCCCTGCTTGCATCCTTATAGTAGTTAAAAATGTTAACAACAGCCGAGAATGTTTCATAGATCACTGGATCTCAGCTAACTCCCTAAACAGCATTCAGAAATAAGTGGTTGCTTTTGAAGTTGTACAGGGCTTTCTGGAGAATGCTGCAAACATGCCGTAGGCAGGGCAGGTGCTTAGAAGACACCTGTCTTTCAATCTGTGGGACAGGCCCCTGTAATGACAAAGTGCCCCCCGACAAAATACCAGTCTATGCTCTAGGTTATTTGTCACTCAAACCCTATAAAACCTCAGTGGCCTACAAGAAGTGGTTCCTTGTGGCAGCTTTGTTGATCTTGGCTGGACTTGCTCACATGACTGGGGCCATTGGGGAGAAGCTGCTCTGCCCCAGGTGTGCCTCATCCTATAGCAGGCCAGCCTAGGCATTGTCTCATGGCAGTGGAAAAGGTGCAAGAAACACTATGTCTTGTGGTCCAGCCTCAGCATTGGGACAACACCATGTTCCCTGCATTACATTAGCAAGAACAAGTCACCAATCCTGCCAGATTCAAGGACCAGGAAAAGAGACTACCTCTTTATCAAGCACCATGCAAAGGTAACGATACTGTAAGAGATAATGCTGTAGTATCACCTGTCACGGCAATGGCATTAACTGATACAAGGCTCTACAAAGGCAACTTAGTATACTTTCTTACTGACTACTGCACCATTGGTTTGGGAGATTTAAGAAATATACCTTCCTGGGAAAATGTCCTAGTACCTTGTACCTTCAGCTAGGTGGACAACTCTAGCCACGTGAACTTTAATCTATATTCAACTGTTTTATTTCATGTGATAGACAAGGCTGATGGAAGAGGGAAAATGCTGGAACCAGCCATGTGACCTTTGGCAGATTAATATTTTTAGAAGTCAATTTTGTGGGAATACAAATCACATACAGTACGTCTTCCCATTCTTAGTGTGTTGAAATGTCCACAAATGTACACACCCATGTAATCATTGCTGTAGTCATGATGTAGAACATGTCCGTCACCCCAAAAGCTTTCTCTCCTCTTCTCAGTTCATTCATTCCTTCTCCCCACACCTACATATGTGATTTCTATCACTATAGATTAATTTTTTGCAGGTTGTTTTTACTTTTTCATTTCAATTCTTCCTCAATAAAACAGGCATCTTCAGATCTGCTTGATAGTAGCAGGTGCTTATCTCAAATGCTAACTCCTTAGTGCCCTGTGAGCAGGTTAACCTGCTATTTTCACTAGGTGGGTAGGAAAAAGCAGAGGAGAGCTAGTTAAAGGACTAATACAAGCAGATTAATGGAGTCAGACTTTCCGAGAGTTAGAAAAAAGAGTGAGTGCCAGGACTGATTAAACCAGTGAAATGAACAGAAGAGAGTTTTGCTTCGTTAATGTGTTTGTTTTGTTCTTTCCAATACCTGGTGGAAAGATTGAAATCTGTAGCTCTAGTGAGAGAAAAGCACCGGGTCGCACAGAGGTCCTTTTAGCTCTGGGTGCCTTGTCTCTGTGTTACTTGGAATCATGCTAAGTCATCCAGGAAAGCATCTCTTCTTTGTTCGTAAGAAGTTTATGGCCATTGTACATTGATCAGTGAGCATCACTATCATTCTTAGCTTAAGAAGAGGCTCACTTCTGAGATGGCGAAGACATTTGCCCTTCACCATCATCATCATCATCATCACCTTTTTTGAAATTAGACTAGATTGCAGAGGAAAATAAAAATGGCAGTCACCTTCATTACTGTGACCCATCAATGACATGCACTAGGTAGTAAAGTCAGTGGAAGATGAACACTGGCAGGTCACTGGGCTCCTCAGAGCAATTCTTGTTTCCAAGGCCTCTTTCTGACCTTCCAGCTTCAGAAGCAGCTGTCCGAGCTGGATGAAGACGACCTGTGTTACGAGTTCCGGCGAGAGCGGTTGACTGTCCACCGCACCCACCTGTACTTCTTGCACTATGAGTACGAGCCCGCCACAGACAACACGGATGTCACCCTGGTCGCTCAGCTGTCCATGGACAGGTATGTGCATGGGACCCATCTGCACAAAGGCCCCTCATGGCTGCCCTTTGCTGGTTGGTCCAATGGAGAAGGAAGAGATGGCCTCCTAGACTTAGGTTGTTGAAGTCTGCCAAGGTAGGTCTTGGGTCTCGCCCCCTCCCTGGCACTGAAGACAAGGACTCTTGTCTTTCTTGTCTTTGGTTGTTGCTACTATTGTTTTGGTGTTTGAAGATGGAGAGAAGGATGGAGATAGAGGTAGAGCCCGACTCAGATTTCCAGGGAGGGTTAGAAATGTGCAGACCAGAGCCCCAGCCACCACTGGAAAGCGCTTGCTCTCTCCCTCATTTGGGTACTGGCTCAGCAGACACTCACCGAGCGCTTCCAGGCAGTACGGCGAGCCTCGCCTCTATGCCATTTGCAGGTTAATGCTCTGGTCCTCAACTGTGGCCAGGGACGAATCGTGTCATCTGGGGATCTCTAAACAAATTTAGATCCAGGCTTCTTGCAGACCACTAAAGCAAGACTCTCTGTGGGGAAGAGCCCTGGGCATTATTTTGTTTTAAGCTTGCCATGTGCAACCAGGACTGAGAACATGGCTAGTGCTATAAACCACAATGAACAATCCCATAGAATTATTACAATTGCTATACGTGTTTGGAAGGAACTTGGATAGATGATATCAGTACTAGGTTGGGAACCCTCTTTTACTTAGTGAGGTCAAAAACTCTCTGTGGAGGAGACGTTTTCTTAGAGACCTGGAGAACCAGAAAAGGAGTCTAGCGCATGAGTTGCTAAGAGAAGAGTTTTCCAGGCAGATGAAACAGTAAGTGCAAAGCCCTGTCATGGGACGCACATATACACATATTAAAAACAAACAAACAGACAAAACAGAAGACTAGCATGACTGAAGCATAGCATGAGATTGGGAGGAAAGTAGTACGAGATAAGATTATAGAACATTAGGCACTCATAATTGTTTTTATTCTAAGTGTGGTGAGAAATTGTTGAAGAAATTTATGCAAATTTATATTATCTAAGAAATATTTTGGGGACCAGCAGTTAGCATAATGGCTATGTCGCTGGACTCCCATGTAGTTGACTGCAGTTCACGTCCGGGTCCCGGTGGCTTAAACTCACACCAAGTGCATGTGCGTGCGTGCCCGAGACCCCAAGAGGAGAATAGAGGCCAAGGGATTGCGGCATGGCCATCCCCCTGGGGGGTGATTTCTCGCTTTCTGTCTCTATGTCTCTCTCTGTCTGTCTCTGTCTGGCGAGTGCACTCGCCTTATAGCAAAAACCTCTCCAAAAAAAAAAAAGAAAAGAAATATTTTTAAGACATCTTTCTGGCTGCTGGAAGGTAAGGGGATTTGAAGCCATAAAGTCACTCTTTCAGGCTGCACCTGGCCATTCTGTGTGGCCGCCTCCTAAGTTAGCTAACCAGTTTCCTCTTCAGTTTCATCATGGCCCACAATGGCTGCCCTTTCCCCATTTTCCTTCATGTCATTCCCCCTCGGTTCACATGATTAGGAAGAAAGTTCAATCAACTCATTCTGTCTGCGTCACCGCAGAGATGCTTGTCTAGCCTGTGGATGAGACTCCATTGCATTGCCCTAAGGATAAGTGAGTTAATGCCTGTACATTGCCAAGAACAGTGCCTGGAATATAATAAGTGTGCAATAAATGCGAGTCGTGGTTAATCAGAAATAACTGGAGAATGAGCAAATGAAAGGACAAGCACCCAGATATGAAAAGTGTCACCCAAAGTCTCATCTGGGAATCCAGTAAGTGAGCAGCCTTGGCATGAATTGCGTTGCGTGTGGCTCTGTAAGTAGTGAGGGGGTCAGGAAATTCATGATGCGCTTTTGCATAGAAAAATAGATCCTTTGCTCTGTGAGTCCCACTTTTGTCAGTGAAGGGCTGCACAGGTAGATCAGTGGCTCCATTGGCCAGTGGTCTCTCAGAGAGTCATAGGCACCAGTAGGAGGGCCTCGAGTACTCCTGTGCACACACAGATGTTACCAACCACTGCGGGTCATGAGAAAAGACAAAACAGCATGAAGGAGAAAGGGGGCAGATAGCGGTTCCAGCTCAGCAACGTCCTTGTCCTGTTTGTAATCTCAGCCAAGGTCTTTCCCTTCTCATGGACTCAGGTTGCTCATCTTTAAATCCATGGGATCACTCAGAAAATGCTGCTTATGCATCTATTACTGTTGGGGAGATCCTGTCCCTGCCTTCAGGGAGCATAGCATACTCAGGACTCAAGCAATACATTCGTTTTCTATTGTTGTATGACAAATCATCACATATTTAGCAGCTTAAAAATACACATTTTGGGGCTAGCAGGTGGTGTAGAATTTAAGGCAGCTGGATTCCACAGTAGTTCCCAGTCCTGGACACCCCGTGGTTTGAAAATCACTGCAGGTGCATGTACGTGCATACCTGAACTCCCAAGAGAAGGAGGAGAAGGGATTGCAGCATGGCCACCCCTCACCGGGAAATGGTTTCTCTGTATCTGTCTCTCTGTCTCGCTCCAGTGCGTGCACGTGCCCTATAGCAACACAAAACCACGTGTATTCGCTATGTACAGTTTGTTTGGCCCTGGAGCCTAGGTACATGTCAGCAGGGGCCGCTGCTCAGGACCTGAGGTCTGAAACCAAGATGTCGGCCGGGGCTGCAGTGTCGTCGGCCAGTCGGCATCCACTTCTGACCTTACTCGTGTTTGGGCAGAATTCAGTTCCAGGACTGAGGTCACCAGTTCCTTGCTGGCTGTTGCCCTGGGTCCTTCTCACTGGAAGCCATGCATTGGCCCTAGCCGTGTGGCCCTCTCACAGTGCGGCAGCTGGCTTCTTCAGGGCCAGCAGGAGAATCTGCCTGGTCTGTTTTGACAGTCTCAGATCGCGTAACATAATCGCAGGTGCGATACCCTTCCCTGTTCCTGTTCCAGGGCTCGCTCACACCTGAGGGAAAGGGGGTGTACAGAGTGTACACACCCGGAGGTGGACAGACAGATTTCTGGTAGAGAGAAGGGGGTTATGAGGCCATGCAGGAGGCACACTGATGCTGTGAGTGCCCACGGAGGAGCCCCCATCCCAGCTAGGGGTGCAGAAAGGAAGAGACAGAATGTGTCCAGGGGAAGGTGTGTCTTGAGCTGAGACTAGAAGGCACAGAGGGAGAGACGGGCTGGGGCGGGGCTGCTGAGACTGGAGGACACTGCCAGGACCAGTGGGAGCATACAGCTGAGTGTGCTTAGAGCTCAGGGAGCAGGAGCGAGGAAAGGAGAGCAGTGACACCCCCACCCCCGGGCAGGTAGGCTGGGGCTTGGTTCCAGAGGGCCTCGGGAGACCAGTGAAGGTGACCAGTCCTTCCAGGTTGATTCTGCCTGTAACCCAGTGAGGCTCTAAAAGGACCTGACTTAGATGTGCCCAGAATCACCCCTGAATTTCTCACATCCCTTAGGCTTCTCACCCAGCTTTCATCTGGAGTGCCTCAGCCCTCCCTGCCAAGCAGCCCCCATCGGTAAGCCCTTGACCACGCCAACCTTGTGTGGATTTCCTTCCCCTCCACGGCGTTTAAAATAGAAATCAAACCTGATTCTCCATGTCAGTGCCGAGCGATGGTCTAGGTTGGCCTTCACCCTCTAAGTGGCATGTGTGCACCTCAGGCCCCAGCTAAGGTGCCTGAAGCTCCGCACAGGTGAGTGAGGCCTAGGCCCGGTTCCCGTCTCTCTGAGCATCATTGGTTATCCTCTGTCACACTCAAACCTCCTTGTGGGGCATTCGGTTAATATTCAGAATCAAGATAAAGAGCCAGTGGCTACCAAAGAAATCTGACATGCCTGCTCTCTTTTAGATGACTTTTTTTGTAAAGAATTATTTAACTTTATTTATTTATTTTAATTTGACCATAACAGGGACAGAGTAAGAGAGAGAGAGAGAAAGTGAGAAAGCAAGCCACCAGGTCCAGGACTTGAGGCCATGGTTAGCCATGTGGGAGTCCAGTGCCCTTAACCACCACGCCACTTGCCAGCCCCATTAGATAACATTTTTAAAATGTTCTAACAGTGAATGAGACTTAGTGCCCAGAGTCTGACTCTGTAGGCTCTCTGTGACCCAGCCATTCCTTGAGTTTGACTTTTGAACTAGCCACTTAATCTCTCTAAGCCTCAGTTTTTCCCGTCTATAATCTATATTGATAATTATGTCATTATCCTTGAGGTGCTTGCACAGATCAAATGAGATCTGCTCAGTATTTTGCTCTGACATACATCCAGAGGCTCCCTAATTGATATAAGCCCTGTTGGCCGAAATCTTAATGTTTGTGGTTCTAGGTTAAAAGGCTCCAGACCTAAGGCAAAGAGCTCTGGGTTCAAATCCCACTTACACCCTCAGTCTTCAGCTGGCCATCTTGGACAGTTCACTTAACATCTTTGGGTTTCTGTTTTCTCCTATAAAATTGAAGTAAAGTCATTTACCTCCTAGGATCCTGGTTAGGAGTAAATGAGAGATTGTCTGTAAAAGCATTCCGCACATACGTGACACCCAGTGTGTACCGGCTAACTCAGAACAGCCCTCCTAGGGCGCTGCACAAGGTAGCTCTTTAAGAGAGATAAGATGATGCAGGCAAAAACAAAACAGAAAGGCCTGAATTTAAAGTTCTGTTATAAGACTTACCCACTATGCAAGTTTGAGCAAGTTCCTTAGCTTTTTGTTTTGTTTTTAGGTTTTTGCCATAGGGCATGTGTGCTTGCCAGAGAGAAAGAGAAAGTGAGAAATCACACCCCAGTGGGTGGCCATGCCACAATCTCATCTCCTCCTTTCTCCTCTCAGGATTTGGGCACACATGCACACATGCCTGGCATGATTTACAGCCCACCACGTCCAGGACTCGAACTGTGGTCAGCCATGTAGGAATCCAGCACCTTACCCACCATGCCACCCGCTGGCCCTCTTACTTAGCCTTTTTGAGCCTCTCTTCACTTACCTTAAGAAAGGATGATACTGACAGGGTCACAGATTTCTTTT